GCAGCCTCCGGCGACCTCTGGGACAGCCAACTTACACTTTCAGCTTGGCCTCTGGGGCCTCGTTGGGCCTCCTTTTGGCTTCCTGGATAGTCGGGGTGGGCTGGAGTAACCCGGTAAAAGTCTAAGACGGGATCGGGCCTAGCAGTCCCCCGAGCAGTAGGGAGAGCTTATGCTAGACCGAGAGAGAACATTTAGGATTAACGTTACAGGTTCGGTATTTGGAAACGTAACTCCGAAGCGACAGTCTGGACCCTAGCAGGCTGCAGAGTGAGGAGAATGTACTAGAACCGCGCAGTGGTGGAAACTTGGGTCTTCTCCCCTGGGTGGGGATTGAGCCAGTTGAGGATTTCCCGGACAGGGCTGCACCCTCAAGCTCTGGGCACCTGTTCTTACAGCGAAGGAGACAGAGGCCTCTAGATAGGAAATGACTGCCCCAAGGTCATCCACTCAGTAAGTCACGTTGGGAGTGTGGGAGAGGGCTGGGCAGTTGCAGTGTATTGGTTGCCTCTGGTTCGAGTCCCTCGGCCGTTTGTTGCGTGAGCTTGGGCAGTTCTCTTACGCTTTGTGCCCCCCAGTTCTCGCCAAGTTGCGAACATAGTACCTGGTGGACTGGAGGAATGAATTGTGTATAAAACAGGGCAGGGAGGTCTGATTCAGAACTGCTGGGGACAGCTCTCCCAGTAGGGCGCTGTATTCGGAAGGCCCTTGGCCAGCTCCGCTTACATCCTTCTGGGCTAACATTTAGGGTGACAGGAGAGAGGATCTGGTCCTTCTGGAGTATCTATTGGGTATGAAACCCAGTGAGCGATTGCGGGTGGAGGGAGGCTAAATCAAGCTGAATATTAAAGCGAGAGGACAAAGGTGAAGCGCAGTGAGGTCTCCTTACCTGGAGTTTAGGAAATGGCAGATTTTACTCAAGTTTGTAAGAAGTAGAGTCTTTTAAAGGGGAGGGTCGTATTGATCTTTGAAGTCATTCCATGCCTCAGTCTTTCCAGCAGCGTGGGAGGGCTGGGAGTGGAAGCAACTGCTTGGTGCACGCGTGCTCAGTCGTGCGGCCTCGCGAGGCGGAGGGCGGGTGGCAGTTCTCATAAGCCAGGCTGCACAGACAAGCCAGGTCACTGGGCCAGGAGAAGGCTAGAGTGAGAGTGAACCGGAGCGAGTGTCCCACAGTCACCCTCTCACTCAAAACGGGCGTTGGCACCTTCCCACACCTTACTATCTTAACCCGACAGGCCAGCAAGCATGTTATCTGGGAAGGGCGTTCGGACAGGGTCCTCGCTGGAGGTCACTTTGTGTCCTTTTGATTACAAGGCTCACTTTGCCCTGTGAGATAAGTTGAGGGAAGAAGTGGCAGTTGGTAAGCCTAAATGGAGGTGCGGAGTAACTGACTACCTTGGCTTCCACATCTGTAGGTGGGGTGCGAGGTCTCCTGATTGGCGCCTCACCTTTAGGGGCCATTGGGAGGTGCAAGTCAGATGGCAGCATAAAGCCCCTTGGGAAGCTGAGGAGGGTGCGGCTGTGGGCCTGCAGCTCGCGGCTCCTAGAAGGACAGCAGTGCCAAGGGGCCGTGGCTGCGGCTCACCGAGGAGCTTGTCCGGAGGTGCTGGTTGGGTGCTTTGTCAGATTGCAGGTGAACATTCAGGGTAAGCCTAACTGTGCTGCAAAGTAATTTGGAAAACTTTCTTCTTTTTTGGAGAGGTTTTTGCTATAGGGCATGTGCGCTCACCAGAAAGACAGACAGAGAGACAGAAAGCAAGAAATCACCACTTGGGGGTGGCCACACCGCAATCCTTTCTCCTCCCTTTTCCTCTTGGGATCTTGGGCACGCATGCACACATGCCCAGCGTGCTCGCCCGGCGTGAGTTTTAAGCTACCAGGTCTTGAACTCAAACCGCAGTCGACTACATGGAAGTCCAGCAACATAGCCATTACACTCACTGCTAGTCCCGGAGATTTTGGTTTTTTAAAGAGTTTGGGGAATCTTCAGTGTGTGTCTTGAGTACTACGTAGTGTATAGGAAGCAACATGCTACAGGGAAAAAAATCAATTCTAATGTTCCTGTTGATGAGAAACAAATTCCAAAAGCCTAAACAAGGCACTATCAATCTATTTTGATTTTTATTTTTGGAGAGGTTTTTGTTATAGGGCACGTGTGCTCACCAGAGAGACAGAGACAGTCAGAGAGACAGAAAGCGAGAAATTACCCCTTAGGGGGGATGGCCACACTGCAGTCCCTGCTCCATTCTCCTCTCGGGATCTTGGGCACACATGCACAGGCGCCTAGCGTGAGTTTAAGCCACCGGGTCCAGGACTCGAACCGTGGTCGACTACGTGGGAGTCCAGCGACATAGCCATTACACTAACTGCTGGTCCCAAGTATCAGTCTATTTTTAAGTGGATGAGCATTTACAAGAAGACCACGTTGAGTTTTATGTATTGTTCCCCTCTCCATGCTTTTATTTTTTTTATTTTTTTGGAGAGATTTTCGCTGTAGGGCGCGTGTGCTCGCCAGACAGACAGAGACATAGAGACAGAAAGCGAGAAATCACCCCCCAGGGGGGATGGTCACGCCGCAATCCCTTCTCCTCCATTCTCCTCTCGGGATCTTGGGCACGCACGCACACGCGCCCGGCGTGAGTTTTAAGCCACCGGGTCCGGGACACGAACCGTGGTCGACTACGTGGGAGTCCAGCGACATAGCCATTACGCTAACTGCTGGTTCCCTCCATGCTTTTATTTTTTAAAAGAATTACTTCATTTTATTTATCATTATTATTTTCTAATTTGCTAAGGGTATGTGCGCCCACCAGAGAAAGAAAAGAAACATGGAAAGCAGGCTGTAAGGTCCAGGACTTGAACCATGGTTAGCCATGTGGGGAGTAAGGCGCCTTAACCACCCTGCAACCTGCCGGCCCCATATTTTTATTTTTCA